TGTTCAAAGCAGTAGAATCTAGAAGCAAGTTTTTTTTTCATTTTTTTCGGAATGAATTTGTCTTATTATTTCTTCAAATTTTAATAGTAACAAAAATGTGTTTGTACTAAATACGCTTAAGCTCTCATAATAAAAATAAAGCGATTCGTGCTGACAACCTACTTTCACTTTTACAGTTAACTGTTTGGTGACGTAAAATATGACGTCATTGTTTCAGTTTGTGCACGTGCACATGCTCTGCGGGCTGATAACTAGTTCTCGGCCCCGGGCCGCAAACTCATAATAGGTCACGTGACACTCATAATCAGTTGAAATCATAGGCAATTTTGTTACTATATATAGTAACAAGTGTATTAAAAAATGTTCTCTTGTGGCAAATGACATCAAAATATGCTATATCATAATGGAATAAGATACTCATCAATTTCTTAAAAGATAGCCAAGAACAAAAGAAGTACAGAGATTTGAACATATCTTAATCACTTGAATGATTTTAAAACATGAGATATAATAAGGCACAGCGTCCTTGGCAAAGTGGCATAATTATAATGTAGACGTTGATATTAACTAAGACAATGAATACATACCAATGAATAAAGACAAAACGCAAAAAATCTCGTATTTTCAGTTAAGTAAATAAAATTTAAAGACATAGGCTTCGAGGGCATATATTTTACATGATTTACAATGTAGAAGCAAAAAACTAAAATGCTCTATCAAATCATTCTGTGTTAAAAAAAAAGGGTAAACAGCAGTGAATCGTCAATATATTAATTGCAGAATTGGTATCAATTGGCTGTCTAATCTTCTATGCATGTACCATCATCAAATACCCGCAGTAGACCTATAATGTTTTACTTTATATTATTCATTAACCGTAAGGCAGTGTAAGCTCGTAGACTGTTTATGGTTCATGTTTGTGAGACTTTTTTATGCCCCCGCCATGTAATGGCCGGGGCATATAGTGTTACCCTGTTCCGTCCTTCCGTCATTCCGTCCTTCCGTCATTCCGTCATTCTGTCATTCCGTCATCATCAGTTTCCGTTCATTATTTTAGTAATGGTTGCACACATATAACTCAAATTTGACATATGGATATGTCGTGAGAAAATACAGGTCAAGTTTGAATTTGGTCATGGTTCAATGATTGTTTGCAGAGTTATGCCCCTTTTACTTTGAAAATAATATGAAATTTTCAGTTTCCGTTCATTATCTCCCCAACGGTACAACACATTCAACTCAAATTTGACATATGGATATGTCCTGAGAAAATACAGGTCAAGTTCGAATTTGGTCATGGTTCGATGTTTTTTGGCAGAGTTATGCCCCTTTTACTTTAAAATAATATGAAATTTTCAGTTTCCGTTCATTATCTCCCCAATGGTACAACACATTTAACTCAAACTTGACATATGGATACGTCAAAGGAATGCGCAGGTCAAGTTCAAAGTTGGTCATGGTTCAATGATTTTTGGCAGAGTTTTGCCCCTTTCACTTTGAAATTAATATGAAATTTTCAGTTTCTGTTTGTTATCTCCCCAATGGTACAACACGTTCAACTCAAATTTGACATATGGATATGTTTTTGTAATGCCCAGGCCAAGTTGGAATTTGGTCATGGTTCAATGATTTTTGGCAGAGTAATGCCCCTTTCACTTTGAAAATAATATGAAATTTACAGTTTCTGTTCATTATCTACCCAATAACTCAAATTTGACATATGGATATGTCAAAGGAATGGGCAGGTCAAGTTGGAATTTGGTCATGGTTCGATGATTTTTTGGCAGAGTTATGTCCCTTTCACTTTGAAAATAATATAGATACATCTGAGGAAGCAGTTTAAGTTTGAATTTGGTCGTGGTTCAATGATTTGGACAAACTTATCTTTCTTGAATGTTGGAAAAATTTTGAACTTTCATGTTCAGCTCTGAAATGTACGTAGCCATTATTTTGGCTACAAATATGAAATATGCTATTTTCAAAAGGTTAAGACTGAATAATTTCAGTTCCTTGAACATTGTATGAAAATGGTTTGTTTTAACATTGAAAAGTTTTAAGGGCTTTGAACTTAAAATGAAAAAAATAATTTGTGCAAACAAACTTGGAACTAAATATTATAAAATCTGAAATTTTGGCTGCATGCGGGGGCATCCGTGGCATGATGACACATTTCTAGTTTTCAAAGAGAAACACAATAAAGATTAAAATGACTTTACCATTTATTTGAGTTTATTTCAGTTAATAAATAGATGATCTGTTTTTAACCATGGCTAGGCATTTTTAAAGTTTGATTGATAAATACGAACCTTTATAAAGTAGCTATATCAATACAACAATAAAAGATATCGTACAAACATCTGTGGATGTTTCTAAATTCCAAATTTGACAATTTCCCCCTTTGATATATGAATTTTGCGAGGGCCGGTGCTAGGGTGCTTGGACGGTACCTTGCAATTTCCAGTTACATCCTTGTACAGGCTCAATCAAATCGAGCCTACAACGTTTTCAATTTTGCCATTTTGATCATATTTTAGGGATTCTGTTGTTGTTTTTGTTGTTGTTGTTGTTTTCTATTTTGAATAGGGCCGTACAAAAGATATTGTTGCAAAGACATGCGGGCTCAGAAACATAGTCACTGACCTGTGAAGATGACATGCAATTTTTTTTAATATTTACATACTGACCTTGACTCTTGGCATTCAAATTATAAAATGAACTAGTGTCCATAAAGGTTGACACAAATGCTATTCTATCAAAATAAAAAAACTTAAACATCTAATGGTAAATTAAAATGTGCAGGTTTTTATGTAAGACATTTGGGATCTCAGACACCTGATACAGATTAATTGTCCAAAATGATGACCCGTGATAGTTTTAAGTAATGTTGTAAATTAAAGTGTACAGTATACATACACAGAATGTACAATTCGACATGACATGTTGCTCATATCATAAAACAATTTTTGATATTCATTCCTACAGAAGGATACATTTGTTTAAAAGCACTTTACTTATATTTGTTAAAAAGGTGTCCATTTTGAAATCAAAGATGGCCGGTATAGCAGTCAAATCATGTGTGTAAATCATGTATAATTATCAGCCAATTATTCCTAACAGTAATTGAAACTTTATTCCATGTAGATTCACGGACATTCGATACGATATGTTCCAGAAATAATATTTTTTTAAGTAGATGGTAATGGACAATGGCGGCCATTTTGATTTGACCTTTAGAAGGTCAAGGATTTCAAGTACAGCCGTGGTAGAGCAAAAAATGGATTCAGCGTACCCGAATTATGTAAAAACGATTGACTACCTGCTTGTACTAAAAAAGCAGTTAGACTCTTAACTGAGGGTCTTTTCTGAAAATCTAACCCGTCTAATGGGAACACACTTGCAACATAGATATTTTTAACAAAGCCTTTCCAAAATATTAGGGCAAAATATTTCAATAACTAGAAGTGCAAGTTAAAGTTGAGCTGGACTGGCCTTTCAGCAAGTTCATTTGAAAAATAACACTGTGAAACAGTTGTTTCTGGTGAGCGACTCAGGGCCATCATGGCCCTCTTAGTTACTTAATTGTCATCAAACATAATCAGGATGCTTGTCTATGTAATTGTTCAGACGAGTCTGAACATGGGTCATCTTGGATGAAAAACCAGGTCACACGAGTTAAAAATAGAAAAATCTTGTTAACACTCAAGTGGCCACTGTTTTGATCCAAATATCCTGGAAATTGGTCTGAAAGTTTGTTTTGATGATTCTAGGTCAAGTTCAAATATGGGTCACCTGGGGTCAAAAACTAGGTCACACTGCTCAAATATGTGAACAATCTAATGCTCACATTTTTGACTCAGTTATCATGTCAGAATGCTTGTCTAGGTAATTGCTTGGATGAGTTCGAACATGGTTTGTCTTGGATGAAAAACTAGGTCACAGTAAATAAAAATAGAAAACTCTAGTTAACACTCTAGTGGCTCCTGTTTTGATCCTAATACATGTATCCTGAAAATTTGTCTGAAAGTTTGTTTTGATGATTTCTAGGTCAAGTTTGAGTATGAGTCATCAGGGGTCAAAAACTAGGTCACACCGCCCAAATATGGGTTTCAATTTGGTCATGGTTCGATGAGTTTTGCCCCTTAAATTTGAAAAAGAAATAAATTTTCAGTTTCAGTTCATTATCTTGCCAACAACTGTACATTTTTAATTTGATCAAAGGAATGCGCAAGCTGGAATTTTTTAGTTATGCCCATTTAACTTTGAAAAAAGGGAAGTTTTAAGTTTCCGTTCATTATCTCGCTAACAGTTGTACATATTCAACTCAAATTTGATATATGGATATGTCATAGGAATACACTGGTCAAGTTGGAATTTGTTAATGGTTTGATGATAGCTGACATAGTTTTCTGTCCTGAACTTTGATTTTCGAATTGAGAATGAAAAAAAACACAATAATTTAAGAAAACAAATTTGGAACTAAATATTTTTATATTATTTGAAATTTTGGCAGCATGCGGGGGTTATCCATGGCGTTATGACACATTTCTAGGTTCCATGAAAAAACTGATTTTAAAGTGCTGCAACTTCTCAACTGATTGAGATAGAGTTAAAGGCTCTTCAGCGTTGGTTACACATTACCTTAAGGTCAACCTGAGCCAATTTTTAGTCACAAGTCCAAATTTTTGTTGGAGATGTGAGGTCTGCTGCTCCCCTTCAAACCCACAAACAGAAGGGGGCACATCCCCCCTCTGGCATCTTCTTGATGTATCTATTTGATAGGAGTTGGCGCCGAAAAAGTGATCACTTTTTTAACAGCATTTTCAAACAAAAACAAGTGTTTGGGGTCTAAATAGGGCAATTTCTTTACTATTTCGACCTCGAAAAGTGGGAAAGGGGGTGGGGTGTGAGTGTGAAAAGGCGTGAAAATATGAAGTAATGGGTTATCTGCATCAATTATGTCAAATGGGAAGCTAAGCACTTTTTTCATGTTTGTATTCCAGATGTAAAGAAGAGGAAGAAAGATAAACCGAAGAAGGAAACAGGTAAAAATTAAAAAGAAATTTGCTTGTTTTGAGTAAGCATGATATACAATGTCATCTATTAATACCCTTACACATCTTGGTTGATATGCATAGTAATAGTATTCATCCACTTTCCAGTTCATAGAATGACAAATTGTGACAACACAACTTTCTTTTGTAATATTAAAAGTTCACCAATTAAACTGCATGGTGTTGTCAATACAGCCTGGAGATCAAATGACGACACAGAAAACTTTTGATCTTTGTTTGCGCGTTCTTTATAGGCTGATTTTTCCATTCTAGTATTGCTTTTTCTTTCTTGGTGTGACTGATATTTTGCCTTTGCTCTTCTATTCTCAAAGTGTCATACAGATTGCAGCGTGGACATTGACCTTTCTTAGGAGTGGAAACAAGACAAGTTATAATCTGTACAGAAAATGTTTCTGTACACAGCCTCTGAAACATACCTTCTATTTTGTCCTGTGCATTTTCATACCCCCAAAAACGAAGTTTTGGGGGTATATAGGAGTCACCCGGTGGTCGGTCGGTCGGTCGGTCCAGATGTCTGTTGCATTTTCCTTGTCCGGAGCGTACTTGAAGACTAATGGTTGGAATTCAATATAACTACATACAATGGTCAAGCACAATGAGAGGAAGTGCAGTGCACAAGAACCATAACTCGATCTTGACTAATTACAGAGTTATTGCCCTTTGTTACTTTTCCTTGTCCGGGGCATAAGTTGAAAACTACTGGTTGGAATTAAAAACAACTTCAAACAATTGTCAAACACAATAAGGGGAAGTGCAGTGCACAAGAGCCATAACTCTATCTTAAGTAATTACAGAGTTATTGCCCTTTGTTACTTTTCCATTGCTTTCTTTTCTCCGGACCATAGCTTGAAGACTAATGGTTGGAATTTATTATAACTTCATACAATGATCAAGCACATTGAGAGGAAGTGCAGTACACAAGAACCATAACTCTATCTTGACTAATGACAGAGTTATTGCCCTTTGTTACGTTTCCTTGTCCCGGGAATAACTTGAAAACTACTGGTTGGAATTAAAAACAACTTCATACAATTGTCAAACACAATAAGGGAAAGTGCTGTGCACAAAACCATAACTCCATCTTGACTAATTACAGAGTGATTGCCCTTTGTTACTTTTCCTTGTCCGGGGCATAACTTGAAAACTACTGTTTTGGAAATTCAATACAACTTCATACAGTTGTCAAGGACATTACAAGGAAGTGCAGTGCACAAGAGCCATAACTCCATTTTGACAAAATACATCTTCAGTATTTATAGAGTTATTGCCCTTTGTTCCTTTTCCTTGTCTTTCTGGACTTATTACAGAGTAATTCAATAAAACTTCATCAATGGCCAACCACATTGGCAGTAAATGCAACATACAAGAACCACAACTATCTTTAATTGCCAACAACCATATTTCTATATTTCAATTCTTTTACAAGGTATTCTGTTACTAGTAACATCCTCATTTCGGAAGCAGTTCTGTGGGGGTATTAATCACATTTAGTGATAGTTCTAGTTCTAAAAACAGTGAGTACATACTTAAATCTTGCGTTAGATACTTCCTGTTGGAGTCTTTTCGTGTGTACTGTGATTCAACAGTTGGAAAGCTTTCGATGTGTTTCTTTACAAATGATCTGTGATATTCCGTGGTTTTATTTCCATGCACAGCTTTCCTTCTCTTGTCATTTCCAACATATAACCCTGCCACTTTGTGCTTAACTGCGTTTGTAAATATTTTGGAAGCAACATTGAGAGCTTTTAGAAAAAAGTCTTTGCACACTCTAACCATTTTGCCACCAACTGTGAAGAAAAACGAATTCGAAATAGTTCTTTGTTTTGTTCTCTGTTTAGATGCCTTCTTTGGTTCTTTATTGTTAACATGGAAACAAATGAATTGCCTCTGACTTTTGTAAACACCCATTGACCAGTATGTACTGAATATTTTTTGTCTTTCATCTTTGGTTATATTCTCGCTGCATTTAAATCTACATGAGAAATTTCTTGGGAAAAGAGATAACAGATAGTGTCTGTGAACTGTATGTCGGGCATCTGAATAATTAGTGCTAAGATCTGTAAGTGCATATTTATTCACGTAGATATGAAGAATTACTCCTATGTGAAGATAAGATTAATAGAGTAATAAATGATGAAAAGAATTTAAAATTATCTAACTTAAAATTTAAAGACATTTATAATAAGCCTTGTAATGAGTCAACTACTTTTAAAGTGACTTTGTTTTTAAAGACATTCGTGTAAAAAAATACCTCGTTAAACTTTTCAGGAAGGTATATTCAGAATAAAAGGTGGTTCTAGCTCATACACATACTAAGGCCAATTGAAAACAACAAGAAATATGTGTAACAATTTTAATAAAAGGTTGAAAAGGTTTCACAATCGAATTTTGCGTGTATCAGATGCTACTGACGATTGTGAAAGGTCCCATTTAATGTATTTAGTAATATTATTTAGTAAATTCAAGTGATTTTGACCGTTACCGAATTGTTGTGCCACTTTTTTGTCTACCTGGGAGTTTTAGCACGAATGCGCTTGTTTGCTGATAGATATTTCATGAACGGGAAGGGCTAGATACTTGGGGTCGGTCTCATTTGGAAGCTAAATACAAACGTGAAATAGTGATAAATGTTTTTTTTGTCTGGGCAATTGTTTTCACAATGTCCCGGGAAATGAACCCCTTGCTCGTAGACTCGAATCTGGAGTTTCCGGCATTCTCTTCACTTGCAGTATATTTTTAAGGGGGCATTTTTTTTTTTTAGTTTTTGACACATTTAAGATGAACACAGAGGTTTTTTTTCGCTCACCTGTCACCAAAGGTGAGCTTTTGTGACCGCTTTTCGTCCGGCGTCCGTCTATCGCCCATCCGTCCGTCTTCCGTAAACTTTTACTTTAAATGACATCTCCTCATAAACCACTAAGCCATTTTTATCCAAACTTCATAGGAATGTTCCTTTGGAGGTCACCTTTGAACATTGTTCTAAAATTTAATTCCATGCAGAACTCTGGTTGCCATGGCAACCAAAAAAAACTTTAAATATCTTCCTCTAAAAAAAACCCAAGAGCTAGAGCTAAGATATTTGGCATGAACATCTTGTAGTGATTTTCTACCAAGTTTTTTCAAATAAAAGCCCTGGGGGTCAAAATTGGCCCCGCCCCCGGGGGGTCATTGATTTTCCCTATATGCATATAGTAAAAACTTAAAAAATCTTCTATTGAAGAACCCAAAGAACTAGAGCTAAGATATTTAGCATGAAACATGTTCTAATGGATGTCTACCAAGTATGTTCAAATAAGAGCCCTGAGGTCAAAATTGGCCCCACCCTGGGGGTCATTGATTTTTCTTATATGTGTATAGCAAGAACTTAAAAAATTTCTTTGAAAAAAAAGCAAATAGCTAGAGTTTAGAGACTTAGTATGAAACATCTTCTAGTGAGTGTCTACAAAGTTTGTTGAAATAAAAGCCCTTGGGTTAAAATTGGCCCGCCCCGGGGGTCATTCATTTTCCTTATGTGTATAGCAAACACTTAAAAAATCTTCTTTGAAAAAAAACTCAAATAGCTAGAGTTTAGATATTTAGCATGAAGCATCTTCTAGTGAGTTTCTATTAAGTTTGTTCAAATGAAAGCCCTGGGGTCAAAATTGGCCCCGCCCCTGGGGACATTGATTTTCCTTATATGTGTATAGCAAAAACTTAAAAATCTTTTTTGAAAAAACTCAAATAGCTAGAGTTTAGATATTAAGCATGTAACATTTTCTAGTAAGTGTCTACAAAGATTGTTCAAATAAAAGCCCTGGGGTCAAAACTGGCCCTGCCCCAGTTGTGTCATTGTTTTTAAGAAAAAACTTTAAAAAAATCTTCTTTTAAAAAACAAAACGAGCTAGACCTTAGATGTTTAGCATGAAACATCTTCTAATGAGTGTCTACCAAGTTTTTTCAAATAAAAAAGCCCTGGGGTTACGGGGTCTATATACAGGTGAGCGACTTCAGGGCTATCATGGCCCTCTTGTTTATCAATGTGGTCATATTTTCTTCCCGGGTCCGATACTCGTGCCTGTGTGTTAAGTTACAACAATTAGCCATGTCGTTTACCTGAAACTTTCCCTGAATCCTGTAGATTTCATCACCTCATATTTAGCGGTAATGTTCACTACTGTTTGACTACTAATAACTGCCTACAGACGGATTAAATTTATACTGGCTAGTTGTTAATGACAGTGTATGACACCTTCACTCAGGAAGCCACAGGGGGTAAACAATTAATCTTTAAATTGATCGAAATTATTGCCGATAATACATGGATTGACAGTTTCTGAACTAGCAGTCGACAGGCTTTTCTTATCAGTAGAATTGCGAATAAAGATAACCGATTACGTATCTCACTGTATAAAACATATGTAAAATGGTCAGACTAGTGGTAGGTTTAACCGTAAATTTAAATACCTTTAGTGTCAAACAATGTGTTAAAATATATACTGAGACAAGCTTTTCATTGGTGTAATAAATTTCAAAATCGGACATTAAATCGCCCATACTAGCGGTTTAAAAACGGCTAAATTTGCATTGGTTTACATAAGAGATATTGATTTTACTCGAAGCTAAGAGAAACAACTCTTGTTTTTCACTCGATATACCTCGGTTATTTACGTAGTTCATATAGAGAATGTCAATGGGTGTATTATTTGTTGGAAGAGGCACATATATATACCAATCAAAGGATTAGTGTCACCATTGCAATGCTGTAAGGGGATAATCGTTCGTTATTAGTGTTCTTAAATAGTTTATAATTTTAAACTTGACAATAAGAATATACATGTATAAAAATGTAAAATTACTGGCTACAAATTAGACTATTTTAGAATTTTTTTTAACCGGGACAGACACCTGATTTCCGGGACTTTCCCGGACATCCGGGACGTTATGGCATGTATGCTTATATTTCTTGTGCTTTTGAGTTTCTGGAAAAATATTATTTTTGTTATTTTTTTTATTCACTTATAAACCAACAAAAAACCAAATTATTGTTGTTTTTAGTCAGTATAAAATCTCCATGACAATTTAATGGAGATAAAAATATCACCACTGATATGTGCTTCAAAATAAGGTTTTTAAGGGCATGACGGGTGACATGTCTTGGGTTAAAACTTTTCAGGGAAAGCTGTGGTGAATATAACTGTCACTTAGACTTCATGTGACAATAGCATAGCATGTATCAATACAAATCTTAATATTGATACAGGTTATTGAAATAAAAAAATGTTGCTGACAAATGTTGTAAATGGGTATCCCCTCTGATTAAAAATTATTTTAGACTGCTTTAAATTTTATTTTCTTAAACAAATTTGCATTCAGGCGTATATTGCCACGACTATATGGTGCTCTGGTTTGTTTAGTGAGATCATTATAAGAAAAGTAACCAAATTTTATTAGTTTCCTACTTGGGTATCATCACATTACCAAAAACTTTGAACCCAGTGAGTTGTTCCTTACTGTAGTTTTTGCTATACTTTATTTTCAGGAGGAGATGTTTATGAAAATGCACCAGTAAATGCCATAGGATCAGGAAAGAAAACTGCTTATGAAGAAAACCCATATGAAAATCCTGAGATATCTGATACAAGAAAGGCTCCACTGGTTCGTTTTTTATTGTGTGTTGTTATTATGTCTCATGGCATATAGTAATTGAACCATCCATTGTGTCTGTCTGTCCACTGTAAATCAAAATGGCAAGATGGATTTAAAATAATAGCTTAATAATTTACACAATTACTTAACAACACAAAGTACATGATCTATGCAAGTTACCTAACAGTGGCTTTCATTTGTTAGCTCACCCATCACAAAGTGACAAGGTGAGCTTTTGTGTTCGTATTTCGTCCAGTGTCCATCCCTACATTGGCCCTCTGTAAGCTTTTACTTTGAATGACATTTCATATAAACAACTTAGTGCCAGTGCAAATTAGTGGCAATGACTTGGATATTTTTGAACGGATTGTCTTCAATCTTATTAGTTAGACCTTCAAGTTTACCAGACAAATCTTTAAATTCACCTTCCACTAGATAACCTTGACCTTGAAATTCAAATATTGAAAAGTTCTATATTTTAGCTCACCTGAGATAGCTCAGGGTGAGCTTTTAGGATCGTTGAATGATGTTGTCCGTCCATATTTGATCGTTTATACTGTAGTGGTCACATTTTTGCCTCAATCAATGCTTGTCTAGGTAATTTCTTGGATAAGTACGAACATAGGTCATCTCGGATGAAAAACTAGGTCACAGGTGGTAACATAGAAATATCTTGTTAACACTCTAATGGCTACTGTTTTGATCCAAATATTCTGGAAATTGGTCTGAAAGTTTGTTTTGATGATTTCTAGGTCAAGATTGAAAATGTGTCACCTGGAGTTAAATCAAGGTCACACTATCCAAATATGGAAAAACCTTGTTAACACTCTAGTGGTCACATTTTTGGCTCAATTGTGGTCAAACTTGGTCAGGATGCTTGTTTAGTTAATTGCTAGGATGAGTTTCAATATGGTCTATCCTTGATGAAAAACTTTGTCACAGGAAGTATAAAATAAAAGAAATCTTGTTAACTCTCTAGTGGCTTCTGTTGTTATTAAAATATTCTGAAAATTGGTCTGCAAGTTTGTTAAATAGAGGTCACCCTGCACAAATATAGAAAACCTTGTTAACACTCTAGTGGTCAAATTTTTGACTCAGTTGTCATCAAATGTGGTGAGGATGCTTGTCTAAGTAATTGCTCAGATGAGTTAAACGGGTCAGGTGAGCAATCTAGGGCCATCTTGGACCTCTGTGTCAAAACCCTCTCTTACATGTTGGTTAATGTTTTGTTATTGTCCATTTTTTTCAAAAACTTTTTAAGATATATTTTTTTTTAAATCAGGCTGGCGTTTTATTGTCTTTAAAGGATACCATCTCCAAAGGGTAGATTATCATAGGATTATTTTAACATATGCTAATTTTTGGCCGGGTTGCACTGGTGCAAACCCGGGTTATAGTATGGTGAATGTTGGGCGGTGGGCGGGCGGGGAAAAACATTTTGTATCAGTTTTCTCAGCAACTACTTATCACAGCCTCTTGGTATTTGGCATGCAGCATTGACACGTAGTCCCATACTGTGGGATTCGATTTCAAGTCTGTCGCTCATCCACTTCCTGTTATATACTTAGTTAAATTTTCGACATTAATGGTCAATGGTAGGAAATTTTCGTAATAGTTTTCTCAGCAACTACTAATCACAGCCTCTTGATATTTGGCATACAGCATTGACACCTGGTCCCATACCGAGGGATTCCATTTCAGGTCTGTAGCTCATCCACTTCCTGTTTATCTACTTAGTTAAATTTTCGACATTAATGGTCAATGGTAGGAAATTTTCGTAACAGTTTTCTCAGCGACTACTAATCACAGCCTCTTGATATTTGGCAAACAGCATTGACACATGGTCTCATACGGTGGGATTCAATTTCAGGCCTGTCGCTCATCCATGTCCTGTTTATCCACTTAGTTAAAGTTTCGACATTAATGGTCAATGGTAGGAAATTTTCGTAACAGTTTTCTCGGCAACTACTTATCACAGTCTCTTGATATTTAGCATACAGCATTGACACTTGGTCCAATACCGTTGGATTCGATTTCAGGTCTGTTGCTTACCCACTTTCTGTTTACCAACTTAGTTAAATTTTCGATATTAATGGTCATTGGCAGGAAATTTTCGTAACATTTTTCTCAGCAACTACTTATCACAGCCTCTTGATATTTAGCATAAAGCATTGACACGCGGTCCCATACTGTGGGATTTGATTTCAAGTCTGTTGCTCATCACATCTGTTTACTGACTTAGTTTAATGGATAGTGGTAAATGTTTTTAGTAACATCACAGCATCATCATATAGGGATCACTTCTCCGTCGTCTGTCTGTCCGTCTGTCTGTCTGTCCGCACTCACAGGACAGTAATTATGTGGCTAGAGGGACAATAGGTAACTGTTCTTTCTCTTTGATGTCATTCATTCCGTAATGCTTTTATGTGGCTATTTTCTTTTGTGTGGCTAAAAAGAACAATAGAGAGAACAATAGAGTAGCCACATAATTACTCTCCTGTTAGAACGACCGTCTGCCCGTCCGTCACAAAACTCGTCCGGACTACTCCTCAAAAACTACTGGTGCAATTTCATCCAAACTTTACAGGAATGATCAGTACCAAGTCTAGTTGTGCATATTGTCAGCATTTTCCAGTTCAATGATTTTTGTCAGAGTTATGGCCCGTTAATAATTTTTATTTTTAAAGTTTGTCCGGACCACTTCTCTTATACCACTAATACAATTTCAATGAATCAGGAATGATCAGTACCAAGTCTAGTTGTGCATATTGTCAGAATTTTCCGGTTCAATGATTTTTGTCAGAGTTATGGTCCTTTAATAATTTTTATGCCACCGCAGCATCTGCGATGCGGTGGCATATAGCAATTCACCTGTGTGTATGTATGTGTGTGTGTTTGTTTGTTTGTGTGTGTGTGTGTTATATAGATTATATAGTGAACTTAAAAAAATCTTCTAGTGAAAAACCGCTAGTCCAATTTCAACCAAACTTGGCAGGATTGATCATTGTGTGAAGGGCTTCCAAAGTTGTTCAAAGAATTTCATTCCATGCAGAAATCTGGTTGCCATGGCAACCAAAAGGAATTATATGAATAAATTTAAAAAATCTTCTTGTAAAGATCCAAAAGGCCTAGAGCTTAGATATTTTGCATAAGGCATTGTCTGGTAGACCTCTACCAAGATTGTTCAAATTATAGCCCTGGGGTCAAAATCTGTCCCGCCCCGGGGTCATTGATTTTCACTATATATACATATAGTAAAAACATAAAATACCTTCTTGTAAAGACCCTAAAGGCCTAGAGCTTAGATATTTTGCATAAGGCATTGTCTGGTAGAAATCTACCAAGATTGTTCAAATTATAGCCCTGGGGTCAAAATCGGCCCTGTCCCGGGGATCATTGATTTTCACTATATGTACATATAGTAAAAACTTAAAATCCTTCTTGTAAAGACCAAAAAGGCCTAGAGCTTTGATATTTTGCATAAGGCATTGTCTGGTAGACCTTTACCCAAATTGTTCAAATTATAGCCCTGGGGTCACAATCGGCCCCGGGGGTCATTGGTTTTCCTTATATGTATATAGTAAAAAATCTAAAAAAATTCCTTCTAGCAATTAACAAATGCTAGAGGTTAGATATTTTGCATGAAACATTGTGAAGTGAACTTCTAGCAAGATTGTTCAAATTATAGCCCTGGGGTGAAAATTGCCCCGGGGGTCATTAATTTTCAATATATACATATAGTAAAAAATCAAAAAATCTTATTGTCTGAAGGTACAAGGCCTAGAGCTTTAATATTTGTTAAATGATATCATCTATAGGTACTCTTCCAAAGTTGTTCAAATTTTGCCTCTAGTGTCATAATTAGCCCCGCCCGGGGGCAATAGGTTTTCCTTATATGTATTTAGTAAAAACTTTAAAAAATCATCTTCTCTAAATTTACAAAGGCTAGAGTTAAGATATTTTTCATAAAACATTATGTAGTGAACCTCTAGCAAGATTATAGCCATGGGGTCAAAATTGGCCTGGCCCCATCCCCAGGGTCATTGATTTTCACTATGAACATATAGTAAAAAATTAAAAAATCTTCTTGTCTGAAGGTACAAGGCTTAGAGCTTTGATATTTGGTATATAATATCATCTATAGGTCCTCTACTAAAGTTGTTTTAATTATGCCCCTAGTGTTAAAATTTCCCTGCCCCAGAGGCGATAGTTTTCCTTATATGTATAAAGTAAAAACTTGAAAAATCTTCTTCTCTGAATTGAAAAATCTTCTTCTCTGAATTGACAAAGGCTAGAGGTTAAATATATGGCATGAGACTTTGTGAAGTGAACTTTTACCAAGATTGTTCAAATTATAGCCCTGGGGTCAAAATTGGTCCCGCCCCGGGGGTCATTGATTTTCATTATGTACATATAGTAAAAAAATAACAAATATTTTTGTCTGAAGGTACGAGGCATAGAGCTTTGATGTTTGCTATATAATATCATCTATAGGTGCTCCCCTGGTGTCAAAATTGGCCCTCCCCGGGGGCAGGGATTCTCATTATGTAGTCGCATAGTAAAAACAGAAAATAAAACAAATGTTTTCTGAATGGGAGAAAGCTACAACTTATATATTTGACTTGAAATGTTGTTTGCTGAACTGTATCAAGATTGTTTTGAAATTAAATCATTGGGTCCAAAATATTTCCTTGCCCAAGGGGACAGTGACCATCTTTATTGTCCTTTGATGTACAGCAATGAAATTTTGACCATGTGCACAGTTTTAGTTGCAAAATTGAACTTTGATATCAGGTGACCTAGATTTTGATGATGTGACCTACTTTCTTGTCCTTTGATGTACAGCTATGAAATTTGAACCATGTGCACAGATTAAGATGTAAAGTGAACTTTGATTTCAGCTGACCTAGATTTTTACAAAGTGTCTTACTGTGTTGTCCTTTGATGTAGTCATGAAATTAAGGCTGTGTGAAATATGACCTTCACCACCAAATTCACTAGACTCGAGT